CAGCCCAACAAAGATGAATCCATTTGATATCAATAAGTATTTGACTCAATCATGCAACATTAAGATATACATCTGATTGAAACAACAATAATAGTATAAAAGCCAAGACAACAGAAAGGTCCTCAATTTCATGGGGAGAGAGAGAGAGAGGGAGAGAGTTATCAAATGGCAGTCTGTTTGCAAAATGGGCCCTAAAAGAAAGTAAATTGAGACGCTTGCCAGTATTACTGCTAGGGTTACTGAACAACATTCACCATGATAATGCAGCTTTATTATTAACATCCCTGCAGCAGGATACAGTTCACACTACAGCAACAATAACATTCGCTATATATATATATATATATATTTTCCTTTTTTTATTATTTAAAACTAGAAGTATTACTAAAAGGGCCAAAGGGGACACCCATGTGACTAATTACCGTGAATAAAGTCCACAATATTGTAAAATCAAATAAAGAGAAATTTTGATTTTATATACATGTCATGAACATATTATCACAATTAGCATATCTTTAAGGGTTTAATAGTGAGCAGGCACGGAGCCATGAAGGGCGAGCCGTCCCCACTGAATTTATTTATATTACATTCCTAATTTTTTTTTTGTCAAAATCCTAATAATGCCCCCACTATTTTTTTTATTAACAAAACCCCTTTATACATACTTCCCCCAAAACCCACCACAATCATTTCCTCTTTCTTCCTCCCCCCAACCCAAAACACCCCCACAACCCAAAACTTCACAATATCAACTTATCTACTTTTGAAGCTCTCATTCTCTCTATAACATTCTCTCTCTGAAATATATTTCATTCTTTATATTGCATGGATTGTACAAACGGTTTTTGAGAACAGAGATTTAGAAAGTGATGAAGAGTTTTCTCTTTCTACCTCTTCTTGTTCTTCTCCCTCCTTTCTCTTTTACAGTAACTTCAAATGCTAGATTTCTACTAATTCATGCCTAGAAGCTGATTAGAGGGTTCAATTTGTTTCCCAAGAAATCTACCAACATCATCGATCATGACGACTCTGCTCTACTTAAAATTCTGCAATCAGGTTGGCTTTAAATCTAACTGGATATTCAAACGCTAAGATTAACCCATGTTCTTGTGAATTAGCAGTATTGCACTAATCAAATTGACCTATAATTGTAAAGAGAACACACTGTCTTTTAGAAGAAAGGCCAGTGAAGTTTATCATAGCTATACAGTCCTAAAAATATATGTACTTGTATATACATATATGTATACGGAGGAGATTAGAGCTTGTAGCATGTTTACCTTTCTCTCTAAGTTTGTTTATTGTTTCTTTAATCTACTAACTTTTCACTGATATGTCGGGCTTCTTGGAAATGGGTGGTTGACCAAAATTTTTCTAAGATCGTCATTAATTAACATCTTAGTCTACCAAAAATATATAATATTAATCATATCAAAGTTGTGAGTTCATAACTTATATATATATTTTTCTAAATTATAGATTTTATGAATATACAGGATTCTTTCCAGAATTCATTTAATTTGAATTGCTTTTAATATTTGAGATTGATAATAATTTATAAGGGACCATCAACCAAAAAAGTTGAAATGGAAGTATGAGCAATTTTAAATGAAATTCATTTAAGTTAAAGTTCCTTTGTTTATTAAAATAGTACCTTTTTTTTTTTTTTTTTTTTTTTTTTTGCCTTTATTACTGTACAAGGCTGACCCCTTTCAAATCGTTTTCTAGTTCAATCACTGATAGATATGTGATGGGAACTATATAAATTTGAGCTGTTTATCTTCTAAGAAAGAATGCAGATGCTAATCGTCTTTTTCCGGCACTTCACTTATCTCTTCAAGACTTGAGGAAAGATGCTTTCTTTTTTCTACAATTGATTACTTGAGTAATACTTTTAGTTATATTCTTTAAAATCCTTTTCACTATCTACATAGCTTCTTGCTAGTTTATATGTTACAGTAGAAACTATCATCAGTTATAATTTTTTTTTTTTGATAAATAAATTGTATTAGAAGGCGTTCAAAAGGGGAATACGTCCCGAAAACAGTACAAAGCCAAAGCAAAACAAAACCAAGGAAAGAAGAGACCTATCGACCTAAGGACCCCAAAAAATCCACGATCTCCTCTGTAGAAGAACAATCTCTTCCCGAACCCCAACAAAAAAGAGAACAAATAATGGAGTACTTTAAAGCCCCAATAGGTAATTCCTCCCCAACAAATGATCTTCTATTACGCTCTTTCCACAGGCCCCACCAGATGCAAAAAGGAGTCATCCTCCAGAAATCGCAAACACGAGTTCCCACGCCCCCTCTAAATATCCATAAGACCCCGTGTGGTCCGAGGCATAACCCACTGGATGCCAAAGAGACCCAACATAAGGCTCCAACAATCCTGGGCCGCTGGGCAGTGCAGGAGAAGATGATCCACAGACTCTCCATCGGTCATACAAAAACAACACCGATTAACAATAATACGTCTTCTCTTTCTTAAATTGTCTAGAGTCAAAATCTTACCCCAAACAGCAGTCAAAATCTTACCCCAAACAGCAGTCCAAATGAAGAAAGCCACCCTAAGAGGAGCCTTCGAGTGCCAAACCGTTTTCCACGGGTAAGAAGGGGCCTGAAAACCGGAAATATAGAAAAAGAAAGACCGAACCTGAAAAATCTCCTGTGATGAAGGCACCCAAGTCAAGATATCCACCCTAGTACCATCCACCTATTATCGATACAAAAGATCCAAAAGGTCAAAAACATCATCCAGCTCCCAATCCAAAAAACTCGTCGGAACTGAACATCCCAAGAAAACCTACCGCTATCAAGGTGATAGCAGTCAGCAACCATAGCATGACAATCCACAGCAATACTAAACAATCTAGGAAACCGTCTGCCCAATGAACGATTCTCACACCAGGGATCCTCCCAAAACCGAACATTTCGACTTTCCCGAACTCTGAATCTAATATGTTTGGAAAACTCATCCCATCCCTTCCCAATGGAATGCCACACGCCCACACCAATAGCAGATCTAACTGGTCTAGCAGACCATCCCCCTTTCTCCTCCCCAAACCGACAAGCAATAAGCTTCCTCCATAGTCTATGTCTTTCACTACCAAACCTTCAAAGCTACTTGCCAAGAAGAGCCTTGTTAAAGGGGGCCAATCTCCAAATCCCAAGACCTCCCGACTTTTGTTTTTTTTGATAAGTAAGAATTGTATAAAAAAACGCTCAAAAGGGGAGCGCATCCCAAAGGAACAACAAGAAGCAAAAACCACTAAACCTTCAAAGAGGCCAAAAAATCAACAATGTCCTCAAAAGATCTATAATCTCTACCCAAAACCCAACAAAAAAGAGTGGAAACAATGGAGAATTTCATAACAGAAATAGGAGACTCTTTTCCCTCAAAGTATCTCCTGTTTCTCTCAAGCCAAATGCACCACCAAATACAGAGAGGCGTGGCCCTCCAAGCCTCTCGAATGTGAGCCCCCACAGAACAGCCTTTCCAAGCCTCAATCAAACCTCTAGCAGAGCCAGGCATGACCCAAAGAAAACCAAACAGTCCAAGCATCAAATCCCAACAATCCTTGACCACAGGACAATGCAAAAGAAGATGATCCACTAACTCTTCATCCCGACGGCACATAAAAAACCGATTAACCACCACCTAATTCCTTCTTCTCAAATTATCCTGAGTCAAAATCTTTCCCAAAACAGAGGTCCAAGAAAAGAAGGCCACCTTAAGAGGAGCCTTAGAACGCCAAACTGCCCTCCAAGAGAAAGGACCTGCAGGCTCTTGAGTGAGACACCTGAAGAAAGACCGCACATTAAAGCGACCTTGAGCATTGGGAGCCCAAATCCAAATATCAGAATCTCCGACCATAACACCCTGCCGATACAAAACCTCCAGAAGACGAATGGCATCGTCAACTTCCCAGTCCTGAAACAGACGCCTGAATCGAACATCCCAAACTAATCTCTCATTATCAAGATGATAACAGTTGATCATCCGCCTGAATCGAACATCCCAAACCAATCTCCCATTATCAAGATGATAACAGTTGATCACCCTGGCCTGCCTATCCGAAGCAATCCTAAACAGTCGAGGGAAAGCAAGAGCAAGAGGGATGTCCCCACACCAGATATCCTCCAAAAAACTAATCCGCCTACCATCCCTGAGACGAAACCGAGCATGATTGGAAAAATCAACCCAACCCTGTCGAATAAACTTCCAAACCCCCACACCCCTAGGATCACGCATCTCAAGAGAGCACCACCCTCCTCTTCTCCCCAAATCTGCTCACCACAACCCTCCTCCAAAGCCAATGCCTCTCCACTCTAAACCTCCATAACCATTTCCCAAGGAGAGCTTTATTGAAAGGCACCAATCTTCTAAGCCCCAACCCTCCATTCCGAATCGGCCTACAAACATGCTCCCAACGGACCAGGTGAAACTTGAATTCCTCCCCTTTCCCTCCCCACAACAAATTGCGCTGCAAACGCTCAATCCTCTCAGCCACCGAGGAGGGAATTTGGAAACGGGAGATAAAGACCTCCCGACTTAATGGGCCTACAAACTTGCTTCCACCTAACAAGATGATACTTAAACTCCTCTCCCCTACCACCCCAAAGGAAATTACGTTGAATCATCTCAATAACAACGGAAGATGGAATCGGGAACAAGGAAAGAAAATAAGTTGGAAGACTGGACAGAACACTCTTAACCAACGTGACCTTTCCTCTTTTCGAAAGATACTGCTTTTTCCACCCAGCCAACCTTTTCTCGAAACGCTCAATAACCGGGTCCTAACTACCTGCCCTTCTAGAGGAAACACCCAAAGGCAAGCCCAAATAAGAAATAGGGAATATCATCAGTTATAATGGACCCAAGTACTATCTAACATGGAATCTGGATGTCATTTTCAATCCTTACATAGGCCCAGACCACCTTGTTTTCCTTAATGTCCAACATCGCAATTGACTTTAATAATAATAATAATATAGTACCTTTTGATAGACCTCCTCCTGCCAATTGCCAGTGTTTGCATTTCCCGTCTGAGCTGTCGAATCCAAAGAAGCTGCACCACAAATATAAACTTGTGCATATGTTACCTAATTAAGTATTAATTCGATGGCAAAATTAAGAAACAAAATATAAGTAGCATGATTCATATTTTTCAGCAAAGTAACCCTGACTTGCAGGCTACTGTTTACCACCTATGGCGAGAGAAAATTAAAAAATATTCAGAAACCTCTCCAGAAATGAAGCCTTGACTCAGCAAGGCATTAATTATTCTATCATAAGTAAAATTGAGCTACCTTCATCTCAAGGAAAATCAGTAAACATAAGGATAGTTAGCATTCAAAAAAACCCCGAAGTGATCTTCAGAAAATCTATCGTTGGTTTTCCTGGATTCCTGTTAGGTTCTTTTCTCTGCGCGTTTGCTGTCTGGTGTTCCCTTCCTATCTGTTCTTTGGTAGGATTTGTTCCTCTATTTCTTGCACTTTTTTAGTTTGGTATAGCCTTACTTGCCCTCTTTTTCTCCTGGGGAGGGCCCCATGTAGTTTTAACTTGCCTTTCTTGTTTTGTTTTTCAGTTTTTTTTTCCCTTAGATGGTACTCAACAACCCCCCCCCCCCCCCCCCCCCCCCCCTCTTTCCATGGAATTGTTTGCACCTAGCAAGAATTGATCATGAGACCTAATGCTTCATGAAGCACCAGGGCCCAAGTCTTTTCCAACTATGACAACCCCTTGGGGTTCCTTTCCTGTTTTCTTTATAAATTTTACTTATTGGGGGAGGGAGAACAGAATACATAACACCATTTCAATGCTCTGTAACTGAAACCTCTTCTTAATAAGAATGTGAAGGGATTTTTGTTTGTTTTCAAGAACACTTGTAGGCTTCTCACATTTATATTTTTTCATTTAAGTTGAAGTCATAGGCTTTAAAACAATCATTTTGCTGCTGAAAAAGAGCATTATGTATTCGCTATTCCCCAATGATACACGTCACAATCATAGAGCCAATGCCGACCAAGAAGAATATGTGTCACTTCATGGGAATTATGTCACACCAACTAGAATCATTAGAAGCACCTTAACAAAGAGAAACAAGACAACAGTTAGTTACCGGAATGAGAATACTACCTATCCATGACACTTTGTACAGTTGTGCGTGCATATGATAGGATTGAAAGATTGAGACACACAACCGTGGCTGCCAAGACAACATCCATGCAGCAACGACTACCAATAATAATAGGCTTTGAGTTTCCACAACAAACTAGAATCTGAAAAATAGACATGTGCTGCCAATCTTCTTCCTCGACTCTAGGAATTACAAGGATTCGCCTAACAATGGAGAGAAATGAAACATCGTCTTTGGTCTCGTCCAATTCATTATGTTTTACATCCCATAATCAAACAAATTCTCATTATCCTAGCCATTTTATTTATCTCTGGCTCTTCTTCATGTTTCATTCAAGTATGCAAGTTTTCTATGCATATTGACATGCCATGTACCAGTCTCCTCACATCTGATGCACTTGTTTCTCTTCCACATCCCTTGCTATCCATAAGACCCCTTTTCTTTAGGATCATCCATAGAGAAAAAGATGGTTTGGAAATGGTAGGTCGATTTAATGACTGCATTGGTGCTACCTTTGCGCCGCGATCTCAGGATCTCCCAATGGGAAAACAACTTCCTCCTTATATTAGACATTATGCCAGCTATAAATCTAGCAAGCTCTTACCCTCAGTCTTCTACCACTTGACTCCTAGTCATTGATTCACTAAAATTTAAACACATATTCTACCACTGCCATGATGCCCTGTGAATTGCATATCATAATAATTGACCAGCATTTACTCTGTAGCCTAGCCTTCATTTCTTGCCATGTGCCAAAATTGTCCCAACCTCCAGATATTTCCTTTATCACCAGTCACCAAACTTTTGCCGCAAACCTCGCTCTAAAATCATCACTCATCATCATACCAATCAAACTATTCTCAATTAAATTAAGTCAATCAGAAACAGAATCACACCGACCTTACCTTCAAAATCGGGCATCTCCATCCTCAACCGTTTTTTTCTTTTTCTTTAATATTATTATTTTGCTTTAGTGGGGGGTGGGGGGTTGGCTGACGACGGTCTACTTCCGCTTCAACCCTAAACCCAGGCCTTTGGGAAAAATTTGGAGGATGATTTACTTGATTTTCCACTTGTACAATGGAGGTTGCCACATATTTGTGCCAGAACTAAATCGAAGTTTACCCTGAATAAAGAAACCATTTCGCTTGATATGAAGAATATGTCCATTGTAATATACATGGTCAGGATATTCAACTCTTCTGACGCATCTTAATCACAAACAAACTACTCCATAAATATCTAACAATCTACTCCTAAGACTTTGTTACTTAATTAAACAAGAAAAAATAGATTATATTAAGCATACTCTTAAGTTGAGAGATTAGAAATGAGGAAAGGTAAAAATCTGTAAGAATGATATCAATACGGTGCATATATGAAAATAAGAATACCATAAGAGAACAGAAACATGGGAAGCAAACCTAGACATATTTGAAGTTCCATGAATAAAATGACATACTTATGAGAGTCTCTGGCGTGCCTAGTAATTGATGCTGCTGCTGTAGTGAAGCAACATTACTTTGAGGGCCCAACTGCTGTTGATGCATGTTTGAGAGGTTGTTTTGCTGATTCATTAACTGTTGTTGCCGCTGCAGGTTCAAAAGATTATTTTGCTGGCCCAGAAATCGCTGCTGCTGAAGCTGCTGTTGTTGCTGCTGCATGTCAGGAATGCTGTTTTGTTGACCAAGTAGCTGGTTCTGTTGCATGTTTGTAGCATTTGGCTGCTGCCCCATTAGCTGCTGCTGCTGTTGTGTTGGCAACATTGACTGCTGCTGCTGCACCGCCGTTTGCTGTTGATGAATAATGGGACCCTGTTGTTGCTGTTGTTGTTGCCTGAAATTTGCTTGTGGATGTTGCTGAAGCACAGGTTGTGTTGACTGTTGAACAGAAGTCTGCTGATTCTGTTGAAGGTTAGATAGTGGAGCTGATTGCATGACAGAATGCTGCATAACAAATTGTTGAGAAGACTGCAACTGAGTTGATTGAAATAGGTTTTGTTGTTGTTGCTGCTGCTGGTGCATGTGAGATTGCATGAGTGAATGTGTGCTATTCCCCTGTGGGAATTTCAGCTTCAAAAGCTGTTTTTGCAACTGTTGCTGGTAAAGATACTGTTGTGGATTCTGATACTGCTGCTGTTGCTGGTGGGGAACAACTTGCTGCCTTCCTTGCATTTGCCTCTGAGAATTGGCATAAATATTAGAAGGAACCCCTTGCCCCATTGAATTTCCTACTGAGTTCTGCGAAACCCCAGAGATATTTTGAATGTTCTGCAAGTTGGAATTCTGACCAACAGCATTTGACATGGTGGTTTGATTTAGACTGGTAACAGGAGGTAGCGAAGGTGTCAAACTTGCAGAACCTTGTACCCCAGTTGCTGCCATATTATTCTGGGATAATAGCTGTTGGCATACTTGAGCCTGATTGGTCGCCATTGGAATAGGAAGTGGTTGCCCTTGGTTGTTAACTTGGGACTGCATGCTGTGAGATGCTGCTCAAAAAAATAAAAAATAAAATATAAGAGAGAGAGAAAGAGAACAGCACCAGGTTAGGGATGAATGCTTGGTGTTAGAATGTTATATATATATATATATATGTTGGGCCATTATGTAATTACATAATGTTAGTAGGGTCCTTGTGTTATTAAGGTCACTTGTATCCTTCATATAAGCCTGTGTAGACTTATTAGGTTGTAGAAGTGTGAAATATAGTACAAGTACAAGTTTTCTCTCTTTCTCTCAGTCTCTCATGATAAAGAACATGGTATCAGAGCACACGATCATGGGTGTGAGAGTTTGTAATTGGGTTGTTCTTGTTTGAGATCAGCATCGCGATTGTGGTGTTGGTCGTCTGTTGGCAGTTCCTTGTTCGTCGTCAAATCTGAAGATCGTTCACCGTCGTTGTCAGATCTGCAGCCTCGGTCGTCGTCGTCAGATCTGAAGCTTGCTCGTCGTCGTCTCTGCTTTGTTCGTCGTTGCCGGCAGCTCCTCTTTGGTTGTCAGTGAGCTCGCCGACATCTGCAATCTTGATTTGCAGGGGTGAGGTTCTTCTTTTTTGGCCGAAAGTTGCAGCGGTCGCTACTTATTGATTCGGCCGTTGCTTGTGATTGAGTTGCTGTCGCCTCCCCTGCGTTGTTCACCGGCGTTTGTGAAGGTGTGAAGAAGAAGACCCTTGTTTGGCTACACAGTTATGCTATTCCAATCCTGCTTTACTAAACCCGGAATAGCTATTCCAACCCTGGTTTACTAAACCTGGGATAGCCCAAATCCGGCCCGATACCCAGATCCGGCTCGTTTGACCAGATCAGGCCCGTTTGCCAGGTTCGGCCAGAATATCAATTCTGTTTTTTTTTTCTTCTATGTTTTGCTGGGTTAAACATGGCCTCCAGTTCAAATTTGTTTTCTCCCACATCTGGTCTTCATTCTCCCATGACTTCCGTTAAACTCAATGGGAAGAATTACTTATTGTGGGTTAAAACTGTTAAAATTTTTCTCAAAGGTAGAGGCCTTGGTACTCATCTGACTGAAGAGAAACTCAAGGAAACTAATGCTTCTTTTGATGCATGGGAAAAGAAGGATGCTCAGATCATCTCTGTAATGATAAACAGTATTGAACCCCAAATCAGTTCCACTTTACTTTATTTGGATACTGCCAAGAAGATATGGGACAGATTGCAGCAACTGTATTCTGGGACAGGTAATATCACTCGTGTTTATGAGCTCTGTAAGCAGTATTTCAATCTTGAACAAGATAATCACAGTATAGAAGAGTATTATTCCAAAGATATGGGCGTTTGTGAGGAGCTGAATATGTATCAGCCCATTACTGCTGATGTTCGAAGTATGTAACAACAACGTGAGGACTTTAATGTTGTCCGTTTTCTTACTGGTTTGTCATCCGCTTATGAGTCTTTTCGTTCACAGATTATGGGCAGTCCTACACTTCCATCTCTTGCTGATGTGTTTTCTAGACTTCAGCGCGCTACACTTGTCAGTGATACCTCAACTTTGAATACTGGACAGAGTGGTGAGCGTTTAGCATTGATCGTTTCAAAGGGTGAAAATACCGCTTTCCGTGGAGGTCGTGGGGGACCCTCCACACGTGGCGGTCATGATTCACGGGGAGGCTGTGGCCGTGGTAGGGAATCACGAAAATGTACTCATTGTGGCCTTTCTAATTATACTGTGAATTTTTGTTGGGACCTTCATGGCAAACCATCTACTTATGCAAATCAAGTTTCCTCCTCTCCAAATGATGTTGCTTTTGAATCTCACAATGTAGCTGAATCCGATACGGTCCCTGCTCCACGTGATGAGTATACTCAGTTTTTGTCTTATAAGCAAGCATCTAATTCATCTTCCATGGCTACCTTTGCCCAGTCAGGTACTGCACACACGTCTATTGTCTTCCACTCGCAATCCTTGGATCATAGACACTAGAGCATCCGATCATATGACTGGATGTTCTTCTCTTCTATCTGATTTTAATTCTGTACCTCCTTCTCAAAGAGTTACCCTTGCTAATGGTTCCTCCGCTGAGGTTTCAGGTTTGGGGACAACTAAACTTAGTGATTCCTTGCCTCTCTCGTCTGTTTTATATGTTCCTCAGTTTCCCTATAATTTAATGTCTATCAGTAAGCTTACTAATTCTCTTCAGTGCACTGTTACATTTTATCCTACTTTTTGTGTGTTTCAGGATCTCAAGACGAAGAAGAAGATTGGTACAGGGTATGAAGCTGGTGGCTTATATTACTTTGATTTGGCACCTTATCCTGTGGCTCTTCAGTCTTCTCTGTCTCCATTCCAGTGGCACTGTCTTCTTGGTCACCCATCACTTCAAGTTTTGCAGCGTCAAGTTCCTAGTCTTAGTAATTTGAAATTCTTGTCATGTGAAGTTTGTCAACTTAGTAAGCACCATCGCGTGTCTTTCAAGTCTAGGGTTAATAATCGTGTCTCTAGTCCTTTTCATTTGGTTTATTCAGATGTATGGGGTCCAATAAAGCATTCTTCAATCAATAAATTCCATTATTTTGTGACATTTGTGGATGATTATTCTCGCCTGACTTGGTTGTTTCTAATAAAAGATCGTTCTGAGTTATTTTTAATTTTTCAAAAATTTTGAAAAGAAATCAAAACTCAGTTTGGTTGCCCAATTCGTATTTTACGTTCTGATAATGCTAAGGAATATTCTTCAACCCCCTTTGATACATATCTTAGTGATAAAGGAATTATTCATCAAAATTAATGTGTTTATACTCCTCAACAAAATGGAGTTGCAGAACGTAAGAATCGACACCTCTTAGAAGTAACCCGTGCTCTTTTGTTTCATATGCGCATGCCTAAACGGTTTTGGGGTGACGCTGTTCTTACTGCCTGTCATCTTATTAACCGTATGCCGTCATCTGTATTAAATGGCAAATCTCCACATTCTATTTTATTTCCTGATTCTCCTTTGTTTTCTCTTACTCCTAGAGTTTTTGGATGTGTATGTTATGTCCACAATCTTGGTCCTGGTTTTGATTAACTTGACCCAAGTGCCACAAAGTGTGTATTTCTTAGATACTCTCGTTCTCATAAAGGTTATCGCTGCTATAGTCCTGTTTCTCAACTGTACTTTATTAGCGCGGATGTGACCTTTTGTGAGTCCGTCCCATATTTTTCAGATAGTGATTCAATTCTTGATATTACTCCTGAGTCGCTTCTTCCTGCGGTTCCACTTCCCTCACTTTCTCTTCAACCTAGATCTCCTTTGCCTGCCCCATTATAGGTGTACACTCGAAGACCAAAGCCATCTGCTGTCGTGCCTCCTCCATCGTCTTCAGAGTCTTTGGATCCAACACCATCCACTGTATCTGATTCCTTGCCTATTGCACTTTGTAAAGGTACTCACTTGTGTGTCACTAATCATCCCATTGCTCATTATGTCTCTTATAATTCCTTATCGCCATCCTTCTCATGTTTTTCCTCTCAATTGTCTACTACATTTGTTCCTAAGACTGTGCAGGATGCTTTGTCTGATTCGGGCTGGAGGAAAGCAATGCAAGATGAAATGGATGCTTCGCATCAGAATGGCACGTGGAATCTTGTTCCATTACCTCCAGGTCTCAAATCGGTTGGTTGTCGCTGGGTATACACTGTGAAGTATCTTCCAGATGGGTCCGTTGAGCGTTTAAAAGCCCGTCTTGTTGCCAAAGGTTATACCTAGACTTATGGCATTGACTATGATGAGACGTTTGCCCCTGTTGCTAAGATTTCTTCTATTCGTGTTTTGATTTCTCTTGCTGCTAATAGACATTGGCCTCTGTTTCAGTTAGACGTTAAAAATGCTTTTTCGCATGGTGACTTAGCAGAAGAGGTTTATATGGAGCAACCACCTAGGTTTGTTGCTCAGAGGGAGTATCTTCACACTGTTTGTCGCCTTAAAAAGGCCCTATATAGATTGAAACAATCTCCACAGGCTTGGTTTGGAAAATTCTCTGAGGCGGCATTAAAATTTGGTCTTAACAGATGTCAGACCGACCATTCGATATTTCACCAGCGCACTAAAGCTGGCTTCATCTTTCTTGTGGTATATGTAGATGATATTGTGATCACAGGTGATGATTCTGAAGGCATTGCTAAGTTGAAGTTGTTTCTGCAGTATCGATTCCACACTAAAGACTTGGGGTAAACTTAGGTATTTCTTGGGTATTGAAGTTACTAGATCCAAGAAGGGTATAAGTTTATCCCAACGAAAATATGTATTGGATTTATTAGAAGAAAAAGGTATGTTGGGTGGTCGCCCGGTTGATGCTCCTATGGATTCGAATACAAAACTTGTGTTTGATGAGGGTGATCTATCTAATAATCCGGGATGATTTCGTCGCCTTGTTGGGAAATTAATTTATCTCACTATCACTCGACCGATATTTCATATGCAGTTAGTGTTGTAAGTCAGTTCATGGGAGCTCCTAGAATGCCACATTGGATTGTTGTTCTTCGGATTATCCGAGATCTCAAGCAAGCTCCAGGTGTTGGGTTACTATATAAATCAAATGGTCATCTTAGGGTGGAAGGTTTTACAGATGCCGACTGGGATGGTTCTCCTTCAGATAGGAGACCTACTACAGGCTACTGCACATTTGTAGGAGGAAATCTTGTTACATGGCGAAGTAAAAAGCAAACGGTGGTAGCTCGATCTAGTGCTAAAGCTGAGTATAGGGCAATGGCCCATACTACTAGTGAGTTGACCTGGATACAACATTTTCTAAAAGACTTGGGCTGACAGTTGAAGCTCCTACTCCATTGTTCTGTGATAATCAAGCATCAGTTCACATTGCCTCAAATCCTGTGTTTCATAAGAGGACCAAACATATTGAAGTTGATTGTCACTTCATTCGAGAAAAGATATTACGTGGGAGCATCTCTACTCCATTCGTGAAGTCTGAAGATCAATTAGCTGATATGTTTACCAAAACATTGGGTCATAACCGGTTAAGAACTATCTGTTCCAAGCTCGGATTATTTGATATATATTCTCCAGCTTAAGGGGGAGTGTTAGAATGTTATATATAAATATATATATGTTGGGCCATTATGTAATTACATAATGTTAGTAGGGTCCTTGCGTTATTAAGGTCACTTGTATCCTTTATATATAAGCCTGTGTAGACTTATTAGGTTGTAGAAGTGTGAAATATAGTACAAGTACAAGTTTTCTCTGTCTCTCTCAGTCTCTCATGATAAAGAACACTTGAAAAAAGAAAAAGATGAAAATAATGACCTAGGACTGCAAATACTTCAAGAAAATAAGTCTTTTCTGAGCCTTCGTGCCTAACCAAAATATTATTTTTGGGGAATATTTCTTCAATAAATGTAGAAAAAAATACCCTGGTTGGAAATCTAATTTGCCCTATAGTGCAGACTAGTTCACCAATATTACAGCCAAATTATCAAATTTTCCAGCCTGCACCATGAGCTACTTTCAACTTCAAGAAACAACATGTGACAATATGGATAAATATTTGCTTGGGGATGAATTCTAAGACGAAATATTTGCTTCCTAGTATAGGATTAATTCTTTTTTCAGTCTGGACTACGAGTTGTCTTCAACTTCAAGAAACAACCAGTAGCAGTATGGATAAATATTGGGGAAAATTTCAAAAAGTATTTGCCTTTGATTACGCGGGATGATTTATGCATGATAAAGGCCCAAGGAGGCCTTGAATTAGGAAATTTTCAGTTAAATAATGCCAATGTCACTAATTTTGCTTGGAAAAGCATTGCAGATCCTAACCAATAATGGGTGAATTATGGGGAAAATATATGAAAGAAAAGAACATAATGCAACGTTGGTCACACCAGTTCAAAGTACTAGGGATGGTAGATTAGGTGCAGACCTAACCTTCACATTATTTGTATGTAGTGTCTCAAACCTGCATTCTCAACAAGCGAGGTACCTCAAGATTTTGGCATTGCACCAAGCAATGGTTTCAAGAAAATTCTTCACTATTAAAACTTCTGCCAAGGAAACTTTTGTGTGCAAAGTATCATGGAATATAAAATATGATACTATATCAAAGGGCAGGACATCAGTAAGATATGGCAAGCAAGGCCTTTTGGGCAAGCTGCGCGATAAGGGGCCTTCTTGGAGTCAGCTTTCTTCGCACTCATGAACGAACCAGGATTTTAGGTCATCATCTGTGAGATATAAGCAACACAAGAGACAGAGCCATGATATGACGTGACACGGGCATGCCAACACACTGAATCCTAAAGAAGTAGGATACGAACAGGTTGAGGAAACAGAAACAAGGAAAATATTTTAGGCATGTGAAAACTATATTTGACAAACAGCGTTTCTTTTTTTGTTCTCTTTTTTTTCTTTTTTCATTTTATAAATAAGATCTCATTAAAGAGCGCTCAAAAAAGGAGCACATCCCATATGTAACTTACGAGTCATAATAAACAACAATCATCTCGCATATAAGCAATGACCCAACAAGAACACAACATATATCGTATACATATGTACATGACGCTCACTATTGTGATGACTCTTCTCTTACATAAAAGTATATTATCTTTCATTCATCACCTGGATCGGAAGGATTTTTGCTATTAGTGGAAGGGTTGGACATAAGAGAATTAGCCATAGTATTTTGCGAATTGTTCTCCATCGTCAGCATTTTCAGAGATATTTTTCTCAAATAATCAGACTGCAATTAAAAATTAAAAGAAATTAATATCTCTGGAGTAATACATAATAATAAACAGAACCACTAGTCATAATAAGATTAAAGGTAAAATATAGCGAGAATATAATTATAGAACAGAGCGTACATTGCAACATGCACACTAGAAAAATTAAGAGAGGCATCATGATAAATATACCTGACTTGTTGCAGCAGTATAGATCTTTTCCTCAAACCTAACAGCAATTTTCTTAAGTTCTTGTAGTCCCTCTTGTCCAGAAAAGGGTAGATACCTCTTCAAAGTCTCCATTCTACACACGTCAAACATTACATTTCAAATGTAAAACAAACATAACTACTAATTGAGCATAATATTGTTATTGGGATACTCTTAGCTTTAACTGATTAATAGGGTGTAACTTAAGTGCTTATATACTCAATGCGCCCCGACATGTGGCCGGACTTCCCCCATGAGAAAGCAAAACATGTGCATATATTATAATTATCACGATGAACAGATTGATTTATTTGCTCTCTAGTTAGTTTACCTTTTTGTCGTTATATTCATTAAAAGTCAAAAATTAGTTAAAATCAGTAAATAGTGCAATTCAACCTATTCATGTCCCTCTAGATCTAGATCAAAGCCTTGCGCGCTTACTTCTACATCAGAATCTGGAGTTTTGGTTTTAATCCTTCACATGGCAATAATAGAGTGATTACATCAAGAAATTATAGGGTAAAAAAATGGAAAAGGAATTTAAGTTGGAACATTTCAGCTTTGGTATCAAATTAATGCAAAACAACACTAGACACAAGTAATGCTGCCTAAAGTAAGGCTTATGAAATATGATACGCTAGGTTAGGGACAGCTTTGATTGAGGCTATTGCCTTCAATACAGCGGAATGGAAGCATAGGATTCATGTAGCCGACCCCAAGTAGTTGGGAAAAAGGCTTGATTGTTGTTGTTGTTGTTGTGAGGTTAGGGATAGCTTGCACATTTATGGGAATAAAGGGTAGAAGAACGGTTAGAGGCTTTGAGGATTCTAAAGGGCCATAATTTGCTTCATCTTAAAAGTGTCTACTTGACCCATTTTCCCTGTTCCTTTTGCCTTAAAATTTACATTGAAACAGCGTCTTGAAAAAATTTGAAGAAAACTTGAGGGGCAAGTTGTTAGAGTTAGGGTGTAAAAGATGGGATGAAAATTCGAAGAAGATGGGACCAACTCATTATCAAACACAAAATCTGATTCCAAAGAATTAATAAAATAGAAAGATGAGAAGAAGAAGAATATTCTAGGAATCACACATGAAATTCCTACTTCACCCAAGGGTTAAGTTGCACCACCCAATAACCAAAATCATCCCTCAATTGTTAAAATTCTACTCTGTTAAAAAAAAATGATCATATGTCAATAGAGATTTAGGCTTCGTTTGTTTGAGCATAAAACATTTTCTGAAAAATATTTCCTATGTCTTCCGGTGTATGGTAATCCCAAATTCATAGAAAATCTTTTACGGAGGAAAATAATTTCCCAAAACTTAACCAAAGCAACTTATCAATTAATCCTCCGAAAATCATTTTCCGAGTCTATCAATTTCACTCTCGATCTCCTCAACAAAAGTGTTGAAACAGCAGAAGCACACAAATACATAAATCTAATGAAAGCCAACAAAGCAATCATACATAAACACAAGATATACATGGTTGAGCCAAAACCGGCCTACCTCCGTGGATGAGAAGATACTATGATGCGAAGAGATATTACAACAATAGAATACCAACACCACCACTCCACGAGCCTATTTCCTCGATACCAGTGTCACCAGTGTTTTTCCTACTCTACCAACTCGTATACTACCCCTACCCATTAACTCCCTCATGAGACTACATCTCTCTCATAAGTCTCAACCTAAAGCCTATGTATCTATTTATAGAATTCCAAACCCAATTCCTTGTTGGACAAGGATTACAATTTCTTAGAGTCAAGACTTGTCAAACAAGAAATTACCAAACAGAATACAACTCTAAAATAGAAACATAATTAGAGTAGGAATTTGAGACACAAATCCCAACAATCTCCACCTTGGCTCAAATTTCATCCGGCAAATCATCGTTTCCCATGGCATTGATCACGACACTTCTTTTGCAGCTTCAATCTTGACAATACTCCAGTAAACTCTGATTGTCCACATTATACGTTGCTCGATCAGTCAAGCCTCCAAGGCTCCACCTTGATTACTCGAGCTCCATGCCATGCAACCAAGAAGATTGACTCCACCTATAACTGAAGCCCGTTGCAGCACATGTTGAGACTTCTTGTGATTTCTTTCTGGATCTCCTTCACTTTTGGTTCTGATACCAATTTGTTGAAACAACGGAAGCGCAAAGATACATAAATCCAATGAAAGCCAACAAAGCAATCACACATAAACACAAGATATATGTGGTTCAACTAAAACCGACCTACGTCCATGGATGAGAAGAGATTCCACTATGATTCATAGAGATATTACAATAATGGAGTATCAAAACCACCACTCCACGAGCCTATTTCCTCGCATCTAGCGTCACCGGTGTTTTTCCTACTCTACTAGCTCACATACTACCTCTACCCATCAACTCCCTCATGAGACTACATCTCTCTCAATCTCATAAGTCTCAACCCAAAGCCTATGTATCTACTTATAGAGTTCCAAACCCAATTCCTTGTTGGATAAGAATTACAATTTCTTAGAGGTCAAGACTTGCCAAACAAGAAATTACCAAACGAAATACAACTCTAAAACAGAAACATAATTATAGTAGGAATTTGAGACACAAAGCCCAACAAAAAGCATATGGCATCGAAAACGTCAATCAAGTACATGGAAGAGTAACACAGTGGCCAAAAAGCAGTCTAGAGAGAGAAAGAAAGGAGCCCTTTAATAAAGAGATAGTTTTTAGAGATGTTAGAATGTTATATATATATATATATATATATATATATATATAGATGTTGGGTCATTATATAATTACATATAGTTGGTAGGCCCTTGTGTTAGTAAGTTAACCTTGTATCCTTTATATAAGCCTACATAGGCTTATTAGGTTTAGTTATCATATATGAAAGACACAGATCCGCTGTAGCCACCATGATCTCTCTCTCTCTCTCTTATCAGTTTGAACATGGTATCAGAGCAGTACGAAACAATGGGAACCTAAGGTTGTAGTTGTGATTGCATGGGTTGTTCTTTTACAAATCGATATCAAGATCGAAGTCGATTCTGTTCTTCGCTGAAGGTTTGGCTGTCGTTCTGTTCAGAGCCGTAGGTTTAAAGCTGTCATTGTGTTCAGCGCTTCTTGTCCGTCGTTCTCAGATCTGCAGCCTTTTGTTTTGTTGGCCGAGGCTTCCTTGGCTGTCGCAAGTTGCAGAGATTCCATCATCGCGATCTATCTCCGCATGGTTGTTAGATCGCTACTTGTGCTGGGTTGCCGTCGCCGCTGCAAGGGCTAGGGTGTGTACTAGCCTTGATTTTCCATTGCGAATCTCGGGTGCTGGAACTTCTTGTCAGTGGCAGAGTTCTGGTTCTCGCCGGCGCTGATTGTGAAGGAGAAGGGTCGTGTTTGGTTGCAGAAGTGAAGCTATTCCAACCCTGGTTTACTAAACTTGCCCAGATCTGGCCTTTTTGGCTAGATCCGGTACCGTTTGCCCAAATCCGACCCATTTGCCCAAATCCGGCCCGTTTGCCCAGATCCGGCCCGTTTTCCAGGTTCGGCCAGAATACATATTCTGCATTTTTTTTTTTCTTTTCTTCTTCTCTGTTTTTATTGGGTTCACCATGGCGTCCAGTTCAAATTTACTTTCTTCCACATCCAATCTTCATTCTCCCATGACTTCAGTTAAACTCAATGGGAAGAATTACATATTGTGGACTAAATCTGTTGCAATTTTTCTCAAAGGTAGAGGTCTTGTTTCTTTTGATACATGGGAAAAGGAAGATGCTCAGATCATCTCTGTGATGTTAAATAGTATTGAACCCCAAATCAGTTCAACCTTACTTTATTTGGACACTGCCAAGGAGATATGGGACAGATTGCAGCAATTGAATTCTGGGACAGGTAATATCACTCGTGTTTATGAGCTCTGTAAGCAGTACTTCAGTCTTGAACAATGTAATCACAGTATAGAAGAGTATTATTCCAAAGTTATGGGAGTCTGTGAGGAGCTGAATATGTATCAGCCCATTAACGCTGATGTTTGTAGAATGCAACAACAACGTGAGGACTTTAATGTTGTCCGTTTTCTTACTGGTTTGTCATCAGTCTATAAGTCTTTTCGTGCACAAATTATAGGCAGTCCCACACTTCCATCTCTTGCTGAAGTGTTTTCTCGCCTTCAGCGTGCTACACTTGCCAGTGATACCTCAACTTTGAATACTGGGCAAAGTGGTGATCGTTCAGCATTGGTAGTTTCAAAGGGTGACCATAGTGCTTACCGTGGCGGTCGTGGGGGACGCTCCACACGTGGTGGTCGTGATTCACGGGGAGGACGTGGCCGTGGCAGGGAATCACGAAAATGCACTCATTGTGGCCTTTCTAATCATACTGTGAATTTTTGTTGGGACCTTCATGGCAAACCATCTAGTTATGCAAATCAAGTTTCCTCCTCTCCTAATGTTGTTGCTTCTGGATCTCACAATGTAGCTGAATCAGATACAGTCCTGTTCCACGTGACGAGTATACTCAGTTTTTGTCTTATAAGCAAGCATCTAATTCATCTTCCACGGCTACCTTTGCCTAGTCAGGTACTGCACACACATGTCTATTGTCTTCCACTCGCAGTCCTTGGATTATAGACACTGGAGCATCCGATCATGTGACTGGATGTTCTTCTTTTCTATCTGATTTTAATTATGTACCTTCCTCTCAAAGTGTCACTCTTGCTAATGGTTCGTCCACTACGGTTTCAGGTTTGGGGTCAACTCAACTTAGTGATTCCTTGTCTCTTTCGTCTATCTTATATGTTCCTCAGTTTCCCTTTAATTTAATGTCTATTAGTAAGCTTACTAAATCTCTCCAGTGTTCTATTACATTTTATCCTACTTCTTGCGTGTTTCAGGATCTCAAGACGAAGAAGATGATTGATACGAGACATGAAGCTGGTGGCTTATATTACTTTGATTTGGAACTTTATCCTGTGGCTCTTCAGTCTTCTCTATCTCCATTCCAGTGGCACTGTCAGCTTGGTCACCCGTTACTTCAAGTTTTGAAGCGTCAAGTTCCTATTCTTAGTCATTTGAAATTATTGTCATGTGAAGTTTGTCAACTTA